TTCATTTTACTTGTTTGTTTATTGTATGTCTCACCCCCACAGTGAGCTCCTTAAGTCCCAGAACTTTGTCTTATTCACTGCTCTATCTCCAGGTACTAGAAAAGTACCTGGTCTCTAGCAGAAAGTCAGCAAACATTTGTGGAATGAATGAATGAATGAATGAATGAATGAATGAATGAATGAATGAGGGAATGAATGAACACCCATATCTTTAAGATCTCCCAGTAATCTGAAGGCCTTAGGCCGAAAGGAGATGACCCTAATGAGACCTAGCTCTGGTCTCTCCTTCACCTCCCACCCTCCATACTGCTTCACCTTCTCAGGTTCAGGGCAATAGGTACTTGCTGCCAGCATGTTACAATTTCTGGGCCACTGGTACAAAATTCTGCTGGGTGCTAATTTTTGTATTTAGTATCCTGCTATCTCACAAACAGAAGAGGTCAGGGATAGGTTAAACTAAATATACTGCTTAACCTAGATAATAGTACTGACTCAGTAACATTTGTGTTGAGGTGTTTTCCAAGGAACATTGCTAAGTTTGCACTTGTTCATCTACCTTTTTTTTTTTAACTTCCATTATGGATTTCAAACATATGCAAAACTAGAAATAGTGTTAACGCGTCCTATGAACCTATTACCCAACTTCAACATTTTGCCAATTTGATTTCTCCTATCCCCTGGTGGTCTTTGCAACCCCCAGTAAATATTTCATCTGGCTGTTTTCTTGAGAACTGGTCTGTCTACAACAGACCCTGGCCTTGTTACCATTGTGTTCTAGCAAGTAGGGCAACCAATCCATCTAGTCTTACCAGATATATGGTAAAAATGAGCACTCACGCCCATTCCCCCAGCCGACTAATGAGTGAAAAAGGAAGTGTCTAAATTCCAGACTGTTTAAATCAAGGGACTTGCCCATTACTCGTCTGCAGGGATTTGGGGATGTGGGGGTTGTTGTGGCTACAAAAAGAACACAGACGCGAGCTGTTTTTACTTGTTTGTACCTGATGCAGAATTTCTGAGTGAGTTCATTCAATTCAGTCAGTATTTATGGACTACCTCAGAATATAAGGGACCAGATTAAGATGATAGAAGATAAAGAAAACTCTGTTCTCAAGATCACTGTGGGGTTGGGGAGTGGTGAGAAGTACACAAATAACTAAGATCCATGGCAGAATATGCTCTGTGCCCTAAGAAAGGTTAAGCAAGCATAAGGCAAAAGCTTCTTTCAAAAATCAATTTGTAGGGGCGCCTGGGTGGCTCAGTCGTTAAGCGTCTGCCTTCAGCTCAGGTCATGATCCCAGGGTCCTGGGATCGAGCCCCGCATCGGGCTCCCTGCTCGGCGGGAAGCCTGCTTCTCCCTCTCCCACTCCCCCTGCTTGTGTTCCCTCTCTCGCTGTCTCTCTGTCTGTCAAATAAATAAATAAAATCTTAAAAAAAAAAAAATCAATTTGTACACCCCAGGGCTTACCCCTTCCTTAACTCTAGGTCTGCCCTCTGGTATTATTTATTGCTATACAGCCAATAAGAACATTATAGGAGACCTGGGAATTTGGTGACCCACAGAGTAAACTTTGGGATGTGGATCTTTAATGTCACATTTTGCTATTCACCATCCAGTGTTGTGGTGGGAGAGAACTGGAAAGTCCTCCCAGAGCTTGGAAAACAATGGGGCTAATTCAATGCCAGCAGAAGCTAACATCCAAAGCATTCTACCCTGAGGGCATATACAACAAGCAGCTTCAGCTACAGGGGAGGATCGAAGAGGATCATGGGAGTGTGTCAAGAAGACGAGGCTATATTAATTCAGAAAGATTTCCAAGATCTCCTTGCTACCTAAAGGAGAGTGATCTTGGTGATCTATGATCAGAAGTTCCTAGAAAAGAGTGTAGTTCTTTGGACAAACCAAAGAGGTCAGTGAGGTTTGGCCAGACAGTGTATGTATGAAGGTAGGAGAGCTGAGAGTGGCAGGGCCATTCACAGGGCCCTGGAGTTAGATGCACTGAAGAGTGGAAAAAAGGAGAGAGTTGGGATGAGAGGGACATTTGCATCATAACCTATGTTACCAAAATTGGTGAGGTGAGGATGGCTGGGAGAAAAATAAAGAGGAAGGACAGGAAAAGGCACTGTGAGAAGGGGCAGGGATGCAGGGAGAGGAAAAAGGGGGAAGACAATTATGGTTTGAAAAGGAGCTCACTGATGACAAGGAGGATGCCACGGGATCCGGGAATATGGGAGGCAGGATCTTTTAGGAATCTGTGAAGAACGTGAAGAGGAGGGATCTTAGAATGGGAGGGTATACGGGTTCATGTTGGGATGGAAGGGGCTCATTTCACTGAAGCTGGGGGAAGGAAGTCACTAGATAAAGAGCTAATTAGATGAAGGCTCTGGGTAACAGGACTTGGCTGAGGATGGTAGAAGGGAGGCAGCTAGAACACTGAGAAGAGACTGAAAATAGGAAATCATACGAGGAAAGACTACTGGGCCAGAGGGTTTTAGAGTGTCTTGAACTGGCACGGAAGGGACTTAGCAGGATAAGTAGGTTTGGGGTAAAGTGCCTGTGAGGTGGCAGCCCCTTTAGGGTGAGTGACATCATGGAGTGAGGGCTGTGAGAGGATGTGTGGACAGAAGATGGAGAGAGGTATTAAGGTGCAGGGGTCTCAGGGCACGTGGGGTGGAAAGTCATGAACAATGGGTTAAGGAAGTCACTAAGCCATGGGGCAAAGAGTAACAGAAACCTTGGGGGTCATGGTATGAATTAATGTTGGGCTTAGGAATCATTTGAAAGTAAGGAACAAGGGGCTCAGGGTGACCTGGAAAACTGCAGGTTTGGGAGTGAGAGGTAGTGGAGCAAGTGGGTTTTGAAGACTGTGGACTCAAATACTCACTCTGCTACTTATCTGCTTCAGGTTCTTTATTTATTTGAAACCAAACCAAACCAATAGAAATGGGAAATGGTGGTGGATATAGTAATAATCACCTCTTGGGGTTGTCGAAAGGTAAATTTAATCTATACACATAAAGCATGGCACACACTAGGTGCTCAGCCAATCATAATTAAAGAGGGATGAGAAAGAATCAGAGAAGGAGAGGCCACAGCAGAGATAAGAGGATGGGGATTCCAAGAGCTCAGGGGTAGAAAAGCAATGTAACGCATGGACCCTGTCTTGTCTGTTGAATCCCTAGCACCCAGGACAGAGTAAGACCCATAGGAGCTTCAGTTTGTATTTAAGGGTTTCCATGGGCCAGGCATGGTGCTGAGTGCTTTGTATGCACCATCTCAGGCAAGATTATTACCCTACCTTAGCAGAGGTGGAGGCTGAGGGTTCAGACAGGCTAAATGGTATGAAGAGCCAGAATCAGACCAGAACCGAGGTCTCTTATCACATCAATGCCCCTAGCTGAAGAGCTCTGCTATCCTGCTTTGCCAACATGTTAACTGATGGGGCCTGGTCAAGGGAAATGGGTATGGAATATTAAGAGTGTAGGGGGTCATGGGAGTGAGGGAATAAAGTTCATGAAGCAAGTGGACCCTGAGGTGAGTTTACTAGAGTACACTTCTAGCGAGGGTACAAAAATGATTGCAAACAAATATCATCTTGACTGAGAACTGCAGAATTTCACAGCTGGAAGGAAACTCTCAGATCACTTAACCCAGCCTTATCACAATACAGATGACAAGCTGAGGCCCAGTGAGGAAGGGACCTGTCCCAGGTTTCCAAAGCACAACGGTGGCAGAGCTGGGACCTGAGTCTGGGATCACACACTCAGTCCAGAATTCTTTGATGCCTCCAACTACTACTACTTCATATTCATCTCTACATCTTCCTGGGCACCAGCATGGTGCTAGGGCACGTCTAAGTCATGTGCTGATTGACACTGAGGGGCTGAGGGTGCAGAGAGGGATGTCGGTGGGGGTGACTTTAGGATGAAGGGGGGAGCATGGAATGAGGATCATGAGGTTACAGGGCAAAGAAGGGATTACTAGATATTGGGGGTTATGTAGATGACTGGGTGGGAAACTATTGGAGTAGGGCTTAAGAGTTACCAGGAAAGGTTTGAGAGGAGTCACCAAGTTTGTGGGCGAACACAGGATAGAACCGTGGGAGTTACCGGACCAATGGGGTCATTGAGAAGGTTGGGGGGTCACCTAGGAGGGGTGTGGGGGTCTCGGGTCTTGAAGTCACTAGATTAGAACTGAGGGAGTCACTGGGTTGGTGGGTCCCTGGGCAGAGCTGGGGAAATTCCTGGGTTGGCAGATTCAATGAATAAGAATTGAGGATTACCTGGCAAGATTTTGGGGTCAGTGGGTGGGGTGTAGGGTCACAGAGGTGGAGGCGGGCGTGGGGTTTGGGAGCCGGGGTGGGGTTTAGAAGTCATGGGGGAGGAGTCGCAGGGCGGAAAGAAGGGGCAGGGATGGGGGCCGGGGGCCGGGGCCCCGGGTGGGGGAGGGGTCAGGTCGCCGTCTAGCCGCCCGGACGCTGGGCTAGGGCCGGAGGAGGGTGGGCACGCCGGGCTCGGGACCTTCCCGGGGCCCTGCGCCCGCCCGGCCTCCCACCTGGGCACGGTGGACCCACTCTTCCCGCAGCCACCAACCTGACAGCCCCCGAGGGCGACTCCGCCGACAGACCGCCATGCACCGGGCCCCGCCACCAGCGCCGGCCCCGCAACCCGCCTGCGCCATAGCCCGCCCGCCCGCGCGCTGCTTGCCTCGCGCGATATCCAGGTTCCAGGGCCGCCGCACTTTCCTCTCCTCGCAGCGCGCCTCTACCGGGCCCCGGAACCCGTATAGAAAATACAGGGCACGCTCCACCCCGCACCCCCCGTCGCCGCGGCAGCCGTCCGACTTATCCAGGTTCCCGGGCCCCTGGAGCCCAGGCGGCCGGGCTCTGAACCGTGCCCCTCCGAGCCCCGCCCCGCCCCCCGGCCGGGTGACGCACGGCCCGCGAGGCCGAGCGCCCGGGGAGGGCGTGATGACGTCACGACGCCCCGGTCAGGGCCCGGGCGCGGCTGGCGAGCCGGGTCGTCGCTATAGCAATGGGGAGCCGCCGCCTGTATCCTCCGAGGGACTCCGTCCACCTGAGGCCTGAGGCGGCAGCGGGGAGGAGCCCGAGGCCCCGAGGGCTCCACGCTGTCTCGTCGGCTGCCTGCGGGCGAAAAGGGCGCTCAGGAGCCGGGGAGGACAGGAGGGTTAGGTTGTGAGGGAAGCCGTTCCCGCGGGTCCCACTGCCCGCACTGGGGCTGCGGACCTTCTCCTTGGGGTTCAGAGCCCGGGGGCTTCCTCCTGCGCCTAACCGCCCCGAAGCGCCTTACTGGGCGCAGTCCGCAGGCACTGCCTACGATCTTCGAACCAGCCCCCTGAAGGAAGCAATTGCAGGTATTACTAGCTCCGTCCCGAAAAGGACGTCACTGAGGAGCCGTGAGGGACTTGCCTCTCTAGGGAGGGCTCCCTGACGGCCCTCGCGGGTTCTCTCACTCTCATTCCCCCCTCAGCCCCGCCCGCAGCCTTAAAACCAGCTACTCCCCACTGTAGGCTCGCCTGGGGTGAGCAAAAGCAAGCCCTTTTGCCATTTCCCCCCTCCCGGGACGGAAGGGCTAGCTGGGGGAATTTGCAGAAATCCGAGGGAAAATTAAAAGGGAGTGAGCTTTTCGTAAAGCATTAAAAATAACTGAGAGGAGTTAGATAAGGAACTGGTAAAGGTTGCTTCTTAGGAGAGGAATTGGGTGCCTGGAGGAATGAGGTGAGAAACTTTTCCCTCTCTGTCCTTTTAGACTAACTTTTTTTTTTTTTTTTTTTGGTATCCTCCCTCCCCTCACCCCAAAAATTTTAACTTAAAAAAAAAAGAATTTTCAAAGGAAGTATTCCGATAAAATAGAAACATTTACAAAGTACAGGGTTTGGGGCCTATGGTAGCTAACGATGCTATTGAGGACACTGACAGCCTCTTACCTCGCCTGTCGGAACAGCTTAACCAGAAAGCGCGCTTTTTAGTTTTAGGCATCCCCTCTTGCCTGTCTTATTTGTTTTGACACATCCTTTCCAGAGGTGGGACTGGGGCCAGAGTTGTCTTCAGGTTCTCTGTTTCAGTGGGCAGCGAGTGACAGTTGATGGCCCATGCTTATGGTTAATAATTGAGCCTTTCTATACCTCCTGGTATAGAAATAAACAGCCTGACCACTGTGGTGCCCTTTCTGTTCCTTTGTGGTGGAAGTTTGACAAGTTATTTTACGTACCTGCAGAGAGAATAAATAGCATGTCCTGTAGCATAAACTCCTGGTTAGAAATAGAGCAGGGAATAGAACTCAGGTTGTCCTAGTTTGTCTCCTTACCACCTTTTTCCATAATAAAAAATACATTTGTCCTTTTTCACATTCCATGCAGATCCTAATCTGATTGGCTAATCACCTCTCCTATTACACAATGAACAAAAACTCTGGGCAATCTGTGTGTGACTTTGAAGTAATAAGATTTTGACATTGGGTAATTTCAGGTACTCAGGAGAACTGGTGAAGAACATACTTTGGAGTGGACGATTGAAGGTCATTTCTAGCAGCTTGTGTTCTGCCTTTGAGCCCCACCCTAACAATATACCACCATACAGGCTAGTGGTCTTTTTTTTTTTTTTGAAGATTTTATTTATTTATTTATTTGAGAGAGAGAGAGAGAGCACAAGTGGAGGGAGGGGCAGAGGGAGAGGACAAGCCACCTCCCCGCTGAGCAGGGTGCTTGATGTGGGGTTCGATCCGAGGACTCTGGGATCCTGATCTGAGCTGAAGGCGGACGCTTAACTGACTGAGCCATCCGGGCGCCCCTAGGCTAGTGGTCTTAGGACATTTTTAAAAAATGGAATCTATAAAAGAATTTGAAAGGACTGTATAACCCCTTGTTCATTTAAAAGTTGGTATCTAACACAAATTTAAGTACTTGTAGAAGATATAATTTCTGAGTTATTGTAACTTTAACATTTTAAACTAAAACCCTTCTGTAACTCTTTAATTGTATCCAGTGGACTCCAAATACCCGAAATATTTGATGCCCACCATCATCTATTTAAAAATATGTGAACAAGCCCTTTAGCAGAAATTTTATATGGTTCCCTTTCTTCTTGAACTCCTAATTCCATTCACTTCCCCTACAGAACTGTATCCTAATTAGTGTATTTGTATGTTTTAAAGACTTTCATTGATCACTGTCACACTTCTTTGCAACAAGAATGAGTATAAATTTAAGTTTATTGCCTGTGACCATAGGCTTTAATTGTTAAAAAGTTTCTTTTGAATTGAATTGTCATTACCGTTATTACTGGTACACAATTTATTTTAAAAAATTACATGTTTTTATAACTTGTGAAACCTAAAAAGTACAATCTTTATTGAAAATGCATCCCTTGGGGTGCCTGGCTGGCTCAGTCAAGAGCATGCGACTCTTGATCTTGGGGTCGTTAGTTCGAGCCCCATATTAGGTGTAGAGATTACTTAAATGAATAAATAAAAACTTAAAAAAAGAAAAAGAAAATGCATCCCTTAATGAGAAATACGGTATTTCTTAATTAGTTCAGGTTTTCATGGATGAGTTCAGGTATTCAGACCTAATGGTAGAAGGAGATAAGGTGCAATAGCCATTCTCTGTTTTTTATTTTTAGAGACATAAGCATTGAGAAACCTTGTTCATGTAGTAATTGGGAAAGGAAGAGATTTGTTACAGCATTAGTCCTTGAGGCTTTGAACTACTCCTAAATTACACGCCAATAATCACAAGGTGTCCTATTACCAAATAATATTCTCAAGTAACTATCAAATAGAGTCCTTTAATTTTATTAAAAACAGGATTGGAAACCACTGAACTTGCAAAAGGATTTGTCATCTAGTCATTAGAGTCTCAGTTTCAGTCTTATAAAAATTACTGTTAGTTACCTGTTACCTTTTCACTCAGAGGCACCTTGTTAATCAGAGACTGATTTTCATACTCTTTTACCAACACAATTTTTTTTGATAAAATTCTTTTATCATTACATGCTTTCAGGATCTTTTTGTGAAAATATTGAAGTGCGGATTCACTTCAGTATGGAAAACACCTACCATTTGTGGAATTAGCAAAGCCAATCTTCTTTCAAACCAATTAGCTAAATCAGACTTACTTTCTGTTAGGAAAAAGTCTGACTTTATTCTTCAATTCAAATAAATATGTTAATATTTGTTTTAAAGAATATTGTAAAAAATCATTGGGAAATAAGTTACTAGTTGTAACTTATAAAATACTAAAAATCAGTCATGATTAAAATTATATAGAGTTAATATTAACATTACAAAAACTGTAAAAACAAGATAGTACTATTTCTCATTATATAATTTGGAATAATGCCGTGTAATATGTAGCTAAATCTACTAGTTAATAAATGAGAAGTAGGATTGAAGGCATGTTATCCCCTTGGCAGATATGGATATGTGCTCGTGTTGAATTCTGATGTTTGGCTTTGGGGGACAATTAAGTAAGAATCATGTTTAAAAATCAGAAATAACTCCAATTAATTTTTTTAGACTTCATGACAAACTTTTTCTTACATACTTAATAAAAAGGAAAAGTATATTTGCTAGGAAATAATGGATTGAACAGCTAACAATTTGGTTTTACTAGTAGGAGGTAGAAAATAGTAAACATTTTATAAGATGAAGTAAGAGGACTGATTGTAATAGGAATATTTTTATATGAATGGAAAAAACAACCCCTCCCTCCTATTCCCCAGGTTTTTATATCCTGGGCCATGGATGAAGATTCAGTGTAGGTGAGGGATATGCCTTTCTTTTTGTAAAGTAGGACAAGGACTATGCTGAAAGAGGAGGTGGAATGGAGTGTGCCTAAGTATCCCGGCTGGTTCCCAAACAGATTCGTTTGGGGGAAGATTTCTAATAGAAGTTGAGGATCTGGAAACTTACTTCCTTAAAATGCCCCTCAGATTGATTTCCTTGCCTAGTATCTCTTGGAAGATCTTCACATACCCTTGGAAAGAATTCCTTGGAATGTCTTCATGTGCCCCGTTTTATAAAGACTGATATAAGCAGACTCAACTGTACTGGCCCTGATTATACATTAATCAGGGACAACATCACAAATGTCCTAGGAAGAAGGTGGAAGACTTGGTGTTTGGGAATAAAAGAGGGTTAAGAGATAGGTCAGAGAGGATGGCCTCAAGCTGATGTAGTCATAATAGTCCTGTATTTGTCCTCGGCTTTGCAGTTCTAGAAATGTGACTTTGTCAGCCCACCAAAGTGTTCATGTTTTGTCACACTAAATCAAACTTACAGGAAGTTTGATTGGAATGCCAGTGAATTAATATATACTCATAGCCACCAGGTAGACTGGATTTTCTCTCCTGTTGAGAAGTGTATGTGGAAAGATCAGTTGTAATCAGAATCTTACCTGAGGAGTATGGGTCTTGAGTATGGCTATTGTTATCAAGCTATGATAGCCTGATGCGCGATTCAAGGCACATAACAGGAGCTCAGTAATTGAGAAATGAATGCACCTATTCTTTATAGATGGTAACAAGGAAGTTTAGGATTCTAGTAGGCCAACCCAACATATTTTTTGATCAGGTAGATTTTGCCTTGTTTCTCTTAAATTGCTATATCATTTGGATATTAGATCCAATAAAATTTTATGTCAGGGAATTACATAATTGTAACAAGTTTTATCTGTCATCTCTGAGCCTAGAAATTGGGACTGTTCATTTGTAAGAGACTGGAGATTGTGTTCCTGTCCCGTATGGTAGTAATGGTCATAGTGGCTAAATGATATTTCAGAATTCTGTTGGGTGGCCAAGAGTGTACTGCCTAAAAAGAACAACTTTGCGTGACTCTCAATGCTGGTATTTTGCTAGAGTGGGACATCTTAATTAGGGAATCTGTGGCCTGGCTAGATTTGGGGAACTGTACTATAGTGAGGAGAAACAATACCCTAAACTTCCCCTACTCCCTAGATCCCCCATAGGGGATAATTCTTGATACTGCCTTTAAAAATAGAGAGACAAGCCTTTTCAGGTTCCAAAATCATTAGGAATAAGATGGATACATGAAACAATTTTATAAGTCCTATCTGAAAGCCAGAGGACACTTTGTTTCCAGCTCTAGAATAAACTATTGAGACAGAGGAATAGATGCCAGGCCAAGGAGTTTCATTTAGTATTTTAATAATAATAATAAAAAAAGACAATACAAAATCCAAACATTTCTTTTTACAAGTTCAGATACATTTTTTCCCCAAGTGCAAAATACTCTATGAACTGCATCATTTACTGTTTATTGTTGATTGTGTAGGAGATGCTTACTCTATTGGCAGCAGTGGAAGGCAGATATAAATACAACATTTTGAGATTCTTT